GCAAAAGTAACTAAGAAGAGCAAAAACGAACCAATATAAGAAAAGACCTCTGTATGGCAAAGATAGTCAAGATGGAAAGAGTCTGGAATGGATCATCAGAGAATACCGTTGTGCAAAATATATTGCAATTTCCGAACGATCACAAGCAAAGGAATGCAAAAAGAAAAACAACTGCAATTCCTAAGAATAATGACGAGTGACAAAATGAAAAGAAGACGACACCTGTGCGTCCTCAGGTCTGTTATCTTCATCTTCGTCCTCGTTTTCGAACTGTACGTCAAGAAATGTTCTTGGTGGAGGTACGATTTCTAGTCCACCGAAAAATCGTGGGTAGTCTTCCTGGGGAGCGTATTTTACGGGAAAAAGTATGGGACATATAATTAGAAGTAAAAAAACATTAAGTTGAATCCGTCAGAATCGAAGCTTACCTTGGCTGGTTGTGCGGTATGCTTCACCTTGAATCGATCACTTTTAAACTGGGAATACTGTCCGTATCGTCTTTTATAACCATTAGCGTCGATAAAACATGAGGAGCTTTGATAAGGCGCTTAAATGTATTAACCGTTAAACAATAAGAAATTGGAAGTAATATGACAAGCAACAAATAAAAAAGAAACTCACATGGAGAATCGACTTGACAATCAGAGCATTCAAATTATGCAGCTTTGCCTCTTCTTCGAGCTGGGTGTCGAGCCGCCGGCATAGATCAACAATATCCTCGTTGCAATCGACATCTTCGGCTTCTGGTGAAGTAGGAGACGGTGAATCGGCGCAGAAGGCCTTTCTGTGATGTAACTCTGCAGAAAAAGGCACTGCTCACAGCTGCTCGGAGTGGATAGAAAGTGAAAAAAGAAACCATGAAAAACACAAAACTACGGGCTTGAACTTCGCGTGAAATCGACCGTTGCATGGTGTAGAAATGAATCTCCGCGCAAGTGACACTGACAAGCGACGCCGCCTATGACTGCGTAGCTGCCTGGATCCCCGTATGGATGTGAGTTGCGCGCCTGCCACACTCAGCCACACCCTCTCGCCGTCTCCAACCTCTCCAAAACTGTGCTCTCTCCCTTAATTGCTTCCCCTCGTCCACACTATTTCGCAATCGACTTTACCCACCATCCAAGTTTGAGGTTC